TTTTTTTTTTTTTTTTTGATAAATAGATTTAAGTACTGCTACACTGTTCAAATTTTCATTCTAAAATTAGGGTAAAATAACTGGCAGCTGTCTGTCCATCCGATTAACCGTAAAGTTTACGGTAACGAACATTTTTTTTTTTCCTTTATGGTTTTGATACCTTTTATCAAAAGTATGGTTATAAAACCATGAATACTAAACTATATGGATTTTTAACCATTTACAATTAGCATTTTTCAAAAAAGGAAAAATATATAAATATTGAACTAGACGTACTAGCTCGGCTTTTCGTAAGGTAATGGTCATTGGAGAGTGCCGGACACTATAAATTCTTCTTGTTTTAAACGGAATGGAGGAAATATTGAGGTGTCAACACTAGGACTCAAACTGCCGGTCATGAGATTGACGGATAAGCCTATATGTGCACAGTAGCTTCATTAGGTGGTGCGATAAAATTTTGGTTGTTTAACTGTATTAGATGAAGGCAGTGAATAAAGAGTTTTTGGTAGTCAAACTTAACAGTTTGATTATCATTTTATTTATGGTTATTTGACTGCTTTGATTAAATGTGGTAAAATAACCATTCAATAAATTGTTATTTAACTATTTTTTCCGAGAAATTTCCAGCAGTGTACATAAGCACGGTTTTTGATGCCTTCTCCGAAGTTATAGAACGAAAGTTACTGTAAAATGGCAAAAATAATAATGTGCGAACAGTTTCAATTCTTAACGTAAAAATATCAATTAAAGATGAAAATTTCAATATTTCCAGGGTTCTAGAATTCTAAATATGTTATACGCTCTGCCAGACATGTTAGTCAACAAAATGCGTGCCCGAATAAAACTACTACATGTCGGAACAACTTTGTAAAAATTTATTTGCGGAGCGAAATCAGTGCAACTTTCATTTTAATTCAATAAAAAAGCAAAAGACTTGTAATAAACGTATTGATCAATAATCCTGCCAACTTTTGTTCTAACATTGTTGAATTTTATTAAAAATTTTAAACTGTTCTCCAAGTAAGAGTTAAAGAAATCGATTTCGACCTCGCATTATTTGCACAATGATCAGAATAGAGTCGTGGTGGCTCAAGGGATAGCCTCGCAATGAACCGGGTTCGAATCCCAGATATGGCTGATCATTATGAATTTCCTCATTGGTAGACGGATCATGGATCCCTTTGCCGTCAGGCTAACCGTAAGAGGTTCTCGTGGTTGTCCTCTTCATGTAACGCAAGTGCGGCTTAGTTCCATCAAAAAGTCCTCGGCAAAGGCGAAATTTCTCCCAGTACTACTTGATCCCTTGTCTACAAGTCCCAAAATTACAGGGCTATGGAGTTGAACATCAGTATTTGAAACATTAAATTGGGTCGACTGTTCAACGACGGTTATAAAAATAAAAAAAAATGAAAAAAATAAATAAATAAAATAAATTTCCCACGTGATTGTAATAATATTGTGCCTCTTAATCAGGCAAACAGTTTTCCGGATATTTTTCGGTGGATCTTGCACAGAAGAAATACCAACGCGTTGTCAAATGAGATTTATCTGAAGGAGTTAATAAATCCAGGAAGCAAATGTTTGAAAGGAAATTGGATTGTCATGCTTTTTCAATGGAATCTTTTCTGTTTTAAGAGGCTTCACGCGGAAGATGCGATTATTGATGTATAAATGATGCACAAGGAACACCAGAAGTACGCATATATTTATTAAACAAGTAATCAGGGATTAAATAGCAGATGCGCTTCTCACTTGTACCCCCCTCCCCCAGAAGCCATAGGTAGATGAACAAGTTAAACAAATAGCTGTAAAGCCTTAATCGATTCAGAAATTGTTTTCAATTGATGTGTACAATGGGGGGGGGAGTTCATGTTGTTGGAAACATTATTCCCCCATTCTTAGTGATCAAAACTCCGTTCATGACAAATTGATTTAATAACTATTTTTCTGCCTCATTATTTATTACTCTGGCCATTTATTAAGAACGGTTCAAATATTGCGTAAGCATATTTTTGGCATTTTTTCGGCTTATCACAAACTCCCTACTCTCCTGTACAATTGAAAAATTGGCGTAAGCGACAAAAATTTTTAAATTGAGATTTGTATATACTATTTGGCAACTTTATAGGGTAAGCTACATATATTTTCAGAAAAAAAAAATTTAAAAAAGTGAATTTTGTTTTTGAAATTCCATTTTAGCATTGTACATTAATTTTGAAATTTTATATTAGCAATAGAAGAAAAAAAGAAGTCAAGCCACTTTTCTCGGAATCAATCGTGAAGCACTTGCGCCGTTTTTTCAATTGCACGGCACTACTATGCTTACGTAAGAAGGTTGTTACCTTCTCCCGTCCCCTGGTCACTGCTTTCATTTCTACTTTTACTGCAGCAATCTAGTTCTAGGAATAAATTCAAATGAAAAAAATATCCAACTTTACATTTAACGAAATTCACGTTTTAATTAATTTTGTAAAATTTTGATTAGAATATTCTTTAGGAATGTGTTGCGTTACTTTTTTGCATTCAAAACTGTTGATATCTGTTACGGAAAAGAAATTTTTCTTAATTCTTTTTCCGAATTCAACTTATAATTCACATTTGACATTTTTAAACGAGTCATTTTTTTTGTTACGTTTTTTTATTTTGCTTTTAAAAGAAATTTTGATAATAAGAGAATTTTAATGTCTTTCGTAAACATTGCTAATGCCTCTCTCGTCAGTAAAAATAAGTAAATAACAAACCCCCGTTAGATGCCGACATAATTACATTAACTTGCAATTGATTACATTAACTAACTAATAATTACATTAACTTACTCTGACATGGAAAGCAGGGTTAAAAACATCAAAACATCATTAGAAGCACCGCAATTTTTTATTAAGCAATCAAACTTATTTTAGTTACATCCCGTTTTCCTCAATAGTGATATGCATTAGATTTTGTTTTTACTTCGCTTAAATATTTATTTCCGACCCCTAATATGTTTACTTATTTGTTTTCTTTTTTTAATAAGGACTCTGGAATGAGATTTCCGTATCGTGATCTGCAGAATAATCGCCAAGTCTCGACAACTTCCGGGCAGCTGCCCGTGAGAAACTAAAAAAACATCACTGAAGGGGACCCACTTGTAAGGTATAACTCGTAGCCACCTCTGAGTAAACGTCTACATGTTTTGTCCTTGTGTTTTTTTTCTTCTTTTTTTTAAAAAATTTGCAGGTTTAAAATCCTTTTGGCACCTTGGCGATTGTAGTTGGCGGGACAGATCACGATACTGAAATATCCCCATATATGTCAAGCGCTGTACCATTAAGGCTACACGGTACCCTTTATAAAAAAAATTTTTTAAGGCCTGTAATATTAAAAGTAATAATAGATTTTCATTTGTATTATATTATTAAACTGATNAAGAAGAAAAAAAATGTCTCGACTAAGACGCATTATTTTCTTAAAATTAAGATCGGAATCATGACGACATAAATTCTTTTTCATCGCATATTTCGGACTATTTTTCATCCGAATGACTTTCAATTCCCTTCTTTTGAATAAAACATTTTCGGAGAGAAAAGTCAGAACACTTTCCCAAACACACATTAATGAGAAATTCAATCACTTTCGAATGAAAACGAGATTTTTTCTCTCTCTCGTCCTTTTACTTTTTCAGGTTTCGCGTCTTTAGAGTTACTTAAAAAAGATAACATCTCGAAATAAGGGATGAAAGAGAGAGAATGGCGCATCTTGGGACACAAAAAAGGAAGAATGGGTGGCCGCTGTGGTAGAAAATTAAAACCACTTCAGTGTTATTCCTACAAAACATATGAAAAGCAGTGGAAAACAGAGTTCTTTTTCTATTTCTGACAAACGACAATCCAAATAATAAAAAGATCTTTCGAATGCCAACTCATTGTCAAACTGCCCATTGAAAAGCTTTTATAATAAATACTTGAATACGATGGAAGAAGAAAAAAAAATATATATTTAGGAAGATTTGATAGTTCAGATATATATCTATAGAGACTGACTTTAACGTTTGAAAGGATGAAAAGGGGGGAGGGGGGAATCTGATCAGCAAGACAGTTGAAGTGGGGGATGGAATGAAACTTTCACTCATAGGGGACTTTTGTTGCCAGATCGCTTAGTTC